GACTCATCTCACAGCCACATAATAATAATTTTGTATTTGGCTGCAGACAAAATTTGAACCACTACTACAACTAAATCTAATTTTTATCTTCCGAAGGAAAAAACGATTTTTCAATTTCTCCATGAAAAATAAAATAACTCAAATGTTTAAGGTATCGTAACCACTTCAAATACTCCACTGTATTGTTAACGTCATTTTGAAGCAAAGCAGGTTTAGAACTTCTTTGCAATTTGGAGATCTGTGTAATAGTAGTAATTAAAATGCTTATTTACAAAAGCATGTAAAAATGATACATGTAAAAATGAGTCTTTAAAACATTTCTAAAAATAACTACCTTGTCATGTGGCATAAAACAGATCAGTTATGATACTGAACTAAAAATTATGTAGATCGTTGTTTTGAATGGCTTACCTAAGATTTGGTTTTTACACAAATGTGATATTTTATATACCTTTTTTCTTAGTAGGAATATGAGACAACTGCATAATTTGCACCCCAAACAAGAACCAATAAAATATTAATTACAATTAATGTTATTTTACATTTAATAAAATGCCTTTCACCAAGTATTACAGGTCTTTAAAAGTGATGCAAACATTACTTAAACTATCTTTAACACCTTTGTAAAATAATTTAGTAGTATTCAGCTACAAAACAAGGTTAACCAGATTCAGAAAGATTAAATTAACCTCTTTTGCCCTTCCTCCCATCTACAGACTGCAGCTGCAACATGTTCTTTGTACACCATATATTTCACAAGGAATACAGTGTGCTAAAACTAACTGGTACTACTTTACATCAGGGTTCAGTTTGATCGGTATAGATCTCCTATTTTCTTAGACCACTTAACACTTAGCATGAAACAAATGTAATGCTTATTTCAAATGTTCTACACTGGGCAAAAGTTTAATGAACATTTGTTCTCAAAAATACCGAAGCCCTTTTACCAGGTCCCTGAAAGGGCCTTCCAACTAACAAAGATCAGAGAAGAGCAAATAATTTAGGAAAAAAGGCAGTTACTAAAAGTAGTTTTTGCTAGATCAGATTAACAAATGGAGTTTCTATTAAAGGGAAATATTGGATATTCTTGCATCATTTTTCCCCCCTCCTGAATTGAAACAAACGAAAACTTGAAATATCAAGAACTTCCTTCTGACCAAAAAGTTTCCAGAAATTTCAAAAACAGAAATACCAAAATTTTATTTTTTTTCACTTTTCTGTAGGAAGCATAATTTTCTGACATTCCCAAATGGATGTGTTTTGGATGCCATTCCAGTAACTCAACCACAGGTGGAACAGTGACATCTCCAGAAATTTTGTATGTCAGTGGAGCAGAACCAAGAGCAATCTCATTAAAGACCAGACCCAAGGTGTCCCTTCTGGTATCTACAAATGAATGCTTTGCCCCATTTTCGGGAACCGCTCCACTAGAAACCAAAGCATTCATATGAAGAAATTGATGAGACCCTGGAAAAGATGTCTCCCCACAATATGCACCCCTGCTCACCAGCATGCTCTGCTAAGACTGGAGCTCAGAAACAGCTGAGTATGAAGGAGAGCAGAGGAGCAAGAGGCCTATCCTATTCTGAGATTCAAGAAATATGATCACCTTAATCAGAAGATCGAAACCTCCAATTCAAATGAAGCGTCACAGCAGCTCAAGTAAATGGAGAGTTATGTTTTAACCCACCCAGAAACAAAATTATTTTATTTAACTTCAGTTCCAGCCATTGCAACACATTTCATTTTAGCTTTTCTCCAGTTAAACTTTAAACAAAATCTCATTTTCCAATGGAAAAAAAAATAATTCTAAAAAGTTGACCATTCTTGGTCATTGTACAGTATTACTGTAACAAAGAGCCCCAGCCTCTCTGTTACTTACAGAGGGAAGCAGCCTAGCAAGAGAGCTCTGTGGGCAGGCAGGGTGCTGCAGCTGCAGGTTGCCAGGGCAACTGGCTAATGAGGTAATTGGCCAGCACCTACAGCCAGTCAGATGACCAGATGCAGGCAGCACCAGGGGAGCATTTAAGCCCAGGGCGGGGGCTAGCTGGGACAGTCTCTCCCTGGCTGCCACCAGGGAAGGAGCTCCTGCCCAGGGGACCATAGGATGCTAAGTTAGTAAGGGCTTATACTTGTAAAGGGGCAGAAGGCTGCTATATGCTGATATTTCTGTTATAGCCTGGGGCTTATATTTATGTTGGGTAAAGCCAGCGGTTTGTGGAATAGGCTGTAGGGGAGGTGAAGGCCTCATTGGTGTCCAGAGGGGCAGGCTCAAGGCTTGAGCGCTAAGTGAGCCAAAGAGGGGCCAGGGGCCCAGCGCCAGCAAGGGAGCATGCACAGAGGGGACAGGGGACAGGTATACAGGAGCCAGGGGCTTGGTAACTTGTGAACAGACGAGGGAAGCTACTGTCTCAAAGCCAGGTCCTATCCAGTAGAACTAGGCTGACAGGCCTAATTAGATTGAAGGCATAGAAGCCAAGGAGGATGAGGCCTCAACAAAGGGACATCCTATTGGTAACACCTGCAAGGCATGGGGTGTAGTAAAGAGGCGGTTACAGAGCCACACGATTAGCTCACAAGGCTCTGGGTGCTCAACTGGGCACAGTAGAGCATAGAGGCCCAGCCAGGAGCCTGAGAGCAATGGAACCAAGTCCTAGCAAAGACCTGGGGGCAGCCCCTATATTTTTTTTAAGATGTTTAAAAAAAAAAAAAAGTATATAAAGTTAGCTTAAATTTAAGTTAAAGCTCAAAACTATCATCATGGAATAGGGATTATAACTTCTAATTATATACTGTTTGAGACAATATATTCACGCAACCTTTTCAGAAATTTTCTAAATGGGTACCAACAGGCCATGAACTATATTAGGGGCCCAATCTTATAGGGTTCCCAGAGGCTCCTCTACAGATTAGGAAAGATTAAAGAAAACCACTCTACCCAATGGGACTCAGTGCTCAGTCTAGAAGATCCTATTAAGCCATCCCTGTGATGCTTAGTTTTAGTTCTCAGACTGTGGATTTATGTCTCCAGAGATCATAAGCAGGCAAGGTTCTTTGGGTAGATGTGATATCATTTATTAGACCACCTAAATAGTTGGAAAAATTGTTCTTTACAAGCTTTTGGGTACAAACGCCCTTCTTCAGGCACAGGGAGAGTTTGTTGTCTCTACAGATAACAACCTTCTTAACATCAGTATATGGAGATGAGAGATAACAGACCTGATTACCCACCCATCAGCCCTATTGTCTCTCTGCAAGTTGTATACACACAGTCAAGCCCTTCCCTTTCTCTAAAAGTGCGAAGTTTCAAGAAGTTAAATGAATAAAGGATATCAAACAACAAGAATGCACTTTTTGTACAATCTTGTACAAAATGATTGTACAATGATTCTACCGAGGTTTCCTGAACAGTGATTTAAATCAATTTGATTTAAACCAAATCCACCCTGCAATTAACCATAGGTCTTTTCCAACTAAGAACTGTTGTAGGGGACATGCAGCTCTACGCAGCTCTCGGCTGACATTCTCTTGTTCTACCCAGGAGACAGAACTGCAAAATTGGCATTATAAAAATGTACTAACTTTTGCCATTTGAGAATTTTGTCATCAGGACAGCTCCCACCTGTCTATCAGAGGTCAGATTACACATGTACAAGAACCAGAATCTAGAATCTGGCATACAATACCTCAGTATTAAAATGCATACATTTCAATAACATTTTCTTTGAAGATGTTATCTAAATTGAGCATACAGGCTGCATGGCTCTGTACTATACCAAATATGAAAAATTAAAATATATCTATTCTAATTATGTATCAAATATTTTTCAAACAAATTTTAAAAGCACATTAGACAAAGGACACAATCAACAGATAAAGAGTATTTCAAAATTAATTTTATATTTAAAATTAATGCCACCTTCTTATACAAGTGCCACCACCAACTAAATATAAAAAATTATAAGGGCACAATTTGGTCCTGGCCCATGACTAGAATTCTTGCACATACCAGTAATACAATAAGATTTTTTTTCTAGTCCACACAATATTTATTTGCTGTGAGAAAAATATTGATACTGTTTGTAGGGCTAAACAATATCAGTTAAATGCATACTCAATTCAGAACACATTATTTTATGAAAGCAACAGACACACAAGCACCCCTTTTTATATTTCTAATCTTCTACATAAACCTTTATAGGAAAACTCACAACTCTTATTAGTACTAATGTCCAACAGAAAAGTTAAATGGTTCTGTAGCTGTCACAAGTCATTCAGATGGTTACAAATCCATTAATACAAAGGTCAAAATTATTTCAAATAGCTTATACAGTTTACGATATGCTAAAATACCATAGTTACCAGTATTATAACGATAATACTTCCACTGTCAGTTACCTCACAGGGCAAAACAATTACAGATCACAAAACATTTATTCCCTGGGCCTAGAAAACCTAGCACTATTTTTTTTGCAAAGTTTTTCTTTATTTCTGGATTCTGATGTGAAAATTTTTTTAAAAAACTTAAATTTAAATTAGAAATACTTTACTGAGATACACAGTGAACTTGGGGATTTCTCCCAAACTTTCAACAAAATGTATGTTAAATACTGTGCAATAATTATATAATCCATTGTCAGCTTTGACCTAATATAAGCGTAAATAGGAAATAATTTAAGAAAGAAACTATAAAATAAAGCATGATGCAAAACACAAATTTAAAATGACTGAAAATTGAAGTATATATTTCCTACAAAATATAACTTTAGTCTTTTTCTTTGAAGATGTTTGCCTTTCCCATTGATTTTCTTCCTGCTGTTTCTGAATATGGGAAGGTATACCCTGCAGTAAAGAACTTGCTCATTTTGCATTAATACAAGCCATACATACAATTTGCATTTGTGTAATGATTTTGCACAGATAAGAATATAAAGCAATTTTATTGAGAAACAGGTAGCAAGCAGTGTGCTGAATTAATAACATTATGAAACTTCTCTTACCTCCATTTCTGAAGAGTATGAATGCTCCAATTTACCTGCAGAAAAAAAAATCAGGTGGTTTAAAGAAAAGACAACAGCTAGCTCAAAACTAAACATTTAAGTCCCTTGTGTCTATTATCCATTTTATTGAAATGTATAATTATGCAATATAGATACCATATCACCAAGTACATTAGGACTGGCATTTCACATTAAAAGAACAATATTTGTTCCAGTAAAAAAAAAAAAAAAAAAAAAAGATTAAATTTTGTGTTGCAAAATGCAGATTGAAAGGATTTGATTCTCTTCAAAGTAACCTAATTATTTTGTCAAAGTTTTCAATAGGAACGTAAATCTTTCATTTTTATTTTATCATTTTGTCTTTCATGTTATATGAAATGTTTGGCAATCAGCAGAAATCTGAGATCATGCCCCTAAAGGAATTCACATATTCCAAAGTTCTGCATCTCCCTTATTCAAACATGCAGGGACTCCAATTATGTCTCCTCCCCTGATGATAAAGAATATGAGAAACGGATGTAGAGAGAATCTACTATTGGCTATAGTAAACAAAAGCATATTCAATCCAAACATAAAAACAAGGTACATTTACATAGTACTCCATCTTTTCCTTACTTAAGAACTATAAAAAAAACAGCAAATAAAAAATAAAAACACTATTACTTCCCCATTTACTTTTATATTAAGACTTTTGGTCATGCTCAGCTAGTTAATCTAGGCATATAAAATAAAGCAACAGAATCCACCAACATAATGGGAGAAAAAAAAAAATCTTAATCCTTCCTAAGGACATGGAAATTGAATTCAAATCCAGGGTCTCCTTGCCAACTTCCAGAAGCAGCTCAGTGGATCTTAAGAACACTATATAAGTCAGCTTCTTTAAATGCAACTGGATATGGTACAGAACACTTACTACATTAGGACTGTCCACCTGTAAGCAGCCAGGGGCCACACACTCTGCTGGCCACACCAGTGGTAGCTGCACATCGCATCAGCCACAGCAGTGTGAGTCATAGGTTCCCCAGGCACCTAAGGGGTTTCCCCTTAGCTACATCACATGCATTCAGACCCATCTTAAGTTCCCAGCCACAAGCCCTCCCTGGATATACCACACCCTAGACAGCCACTGGGCCATGGGCTGTGCCACACCTCTCTGCCCCATCCTGTCCAACAGGGCAGAAGTAGGAAGCAGAAGCCAGATCAGGGACAGGGAGCCCAGAGCCCCCAACTTCTATTGCAGCCAAAACCACGAAGGGAGTAGCAGCTAGGTACAAGTCTAGGGGCCACATAAAAATAACCCCTTGCAGGTCGCATGCAGCCCACAGGCCACCAATTGGACAGGCGTGTCCCATACCCTCAACTACTTTTCTTATAATCATGCTCAATGCCAAGAATTGAGAAAAAAAACAGATCTGTGACTTCTGCAGAAAGTGTAGGAAAAGAGGAAAACTTCATAATGTCCCATCAGAATTTTCCTACAGTTTTTCCAATAAAAAGGAAAGTCATGGGTTTTGCTTTACTGTATCCCCTAATAACTCACTGCTGTTGCCCCCCAGCTTCTCACAAGTGTATCTCTCCCTGGTGCCATTACTCCTCCTCCTACTGAAGAAACAAAAGGTCCATAACAGAAGGCACTTCTACACAAAGTGCCTGATGAGAACGATAAAACGTGATGGACAGGAATGAAACTTAACTGGCTGAACAAAAACCCAGCCAATCATAGGGCCAAAACAATTTCAAGGACATGGCAGAAGGACAGAATTACAAAGTATGTGCTCTAGGCACTATGCTCCTGAAGCTACAAAGTGCATGCATTTTGTAATCTCTCTGTTGAAGTCAGTGCTGTTCTTGGACATCAGCTTCTCCAAGATCCTTTAACTTGCATGATTTTCAGCTATTTAGGCTGTTGTGCCACTAAAGAGAAAAGAAACAGGAGTGCCTATATGTTACCAACATGACAGTCAATCTCTGTGCATCCTTCATCAGAAAATAGTAGAACCCCACATGATCCCAACACACTCATCCCCCCTTCCCCAATCACAATGACACTCCATTAACAAGGATTGCATCAGTTAAATAGTGCCTAAGTGGGGTTGACTTTTCATTTGCACTCCAAGTAAGACAGTATGTATTATTTAATAATGCTACTTATATACTAATAGTCTCTTATTCACTGGGATCATTACTGCCCTTCATTCTGCGTAACCCATCTAGGAATCCACGGATAGTAAAGGCTTGGCACTGCCAAAACACACTATATTCTACTGTGCATCAACACCAACTTGTCACAAATTCAAAGACATTTTATCAAGCTTTTGAAAAAAAGACCAAGTTAAGATTTCCTGATATTTTTAAACATTTACCAATACTGCACACACTTTAGACCTTCTACCATAAACAGAGGAGGCTTATCAAAAGCATGTCAAGCTGACTTGCTATGGTTAATTTAACAGACATAGAGAAACTGCTTCCTACTTTGCTGATTCAACACCCGTGAAAATAAACTGTGCTCGTTACTGAACTACCGTATTTACCCAAATCCAAGATTACACTAAATTTAACGCAATCCCCCAGTAATTAGATGCTATGCATGGAAAATGTATAGATGTGTTACCATTTACCACGTATAGAAGTTAATCATTGGAGGACCATCTTAAATTCATCTCCACAACCACTGCAGGAGGGAAAGCGGGGGGAGGGGGGAAAGCAGTGGAGACAGGCAGAAGGGGGCATGTATCTTGCACCCTTGTCCCCCTCCAACTAACCTCCCCTTGTGCCTACCCCCCCCACCACAGCCCCAGACCTTTGCCCCCTTTTCTATCTCTACCCCAACAACTTCTGACTCCCACCTGCCCCTGCCCCCACCACTTACCCTTGCTCTGAGGCTGGCAGGCTCCATCCCCACTCCAGCCTGGGACACAGAGCACAGCCTCAGCCTGGCCCCACAGCAGCAGCATGGAACTGGCTCCGCTGCTATGGAGCTGAGCTGGGGCTGTGCTCTGTGCCCCATGCTGGAGTGGGGACTAGGCCTACTGGTGCTGGAGCAAGGGTAAGGGGAGGAGAGGGACTCAGAGGTGAGAGGAGACCAAGGGAAGGGAGGGAGAACAAGGTTGGAGGGGGGTGGGGGCAGAAGCAGCAGTGAAGGACAGGGAAGGGCAGGTGAGGGCCCAAGGCTTCAGGATGGGGATAGACAGGAGTGCAGAGGTGGCAAGCGGGTTACTAGCTGAGGCAGGGAAAACCTCACCTTGCAATGAAGTAAATACAGTTGTTACTTTGCCTATTGAAAAGATTAACCATACCATATTTTCTCACATACCACATGCCCCCAAATGAGATAACACCCTGTTTTTGGGAAGGCAGAAGGAAGAAAAAAAGATCTTTCCAGATTTATGGTCACAAAGAGCAGTGTCAGAGACTAATCCTCAGCTCCCCCTTCCCCCCCCGTCCCTTTCCTACTCAGGAAAAAAGGCACCCCTTTCACAGCTAAAGAGTCAGCAGTTCCTAGCTGCTCAAGCAGTAGCTGAAACGGTAACTGCTTCTGACAAGTGGATACCATGGATGGATCTAGGATTTTTAGAGAGCTAAAAACAGTCTTCAGGGCTGTGAAATAGGAAGAGAGACCACAAGTAGCTAACAGATGGCAAAACTGCTGCAAAAAAACTAGCTTGATTAACAAAACATTAAAACCATTAAAAAGCAGAGATGGTCATCGACACCTGTAGAGTGAAAAGTAATTGGCAGGAATCAGGTAGATTATAATGAGCCATGAAATCAAATTACTCCATACTTCCTGAATAGAAATGCTACTCCTGCTGCCAGCCAGCTGTTTTTAAACTTTGGGTAGAACAGGAACAAAGCAGAGTTTAGCTGCTTCCCCTGGTCCCTGAGCTGCCCCTCCCCCTCCATGCTGCTACTGAAGGAAAGAGAGGGGCAGGGGTGGGGGGAGCAGCAGACATTTTACAGCATCTCCATGCATTTATTCTGGACAGAAAATCAGCTTCTTCACTTAAGATACACACACCCCAATTTTGGAAAGCTAATTTTTAGGAAAAAGTGGGGTATAGTATGCAAGTAAAATATGGTACCAAGTAAGAGTAGGAGACATCCAAATATCATTAAAAAAATTCACCTTCAAATTGAATTGTGTCCAATATAAATTATATGCACAACAGTGTCTTCTAAACTCAAAGGCATAAATAAAGAGTTTCTTAAAAAGACATCTTTTAGATAATGTATTAATCTTGTCACAGGTTAGTATGATTCCAACTGAATCAAGGACTTATAAAAATATTTTATGCTCAAAACACTAATACATACTAAATTATTACATTTAGTATATAAAGAGCACATTCTCACTGGAAAAATCCCTTTGACATGTTTTCTTGTGTTAAGATACAGGATGGTACTGACAGGAGACTTCAATTTTCCAGACACCTACTGGAAGAACAATGCAGCCAGACATAAAATGTCAAGCCAATTTCTAACTTGTGTGGAGGACAACTTTCTGTTCCAGGGAGTGGAGGATACAACTAGGGGATTATCCATCTTGGATCTTATCCTGACCAACAAGGATAACTGGTGGAAGATGTGAAGGTGATAGGTAACTCAGGAGGAACCAATCACGATGCAATAAAATTTGAGATCCTGAGGCAGGAAAAGCATAAGGTCAGCAAAATTAGGACACTAGGTTTCAAAAAAGTAAATTTCATTCAACTCAAGGAGCATGGTGCCTTGGGAGGATAGACTGATGTTTAAAGGCACCATGAAGAAGGACTAGGAGCTTAACAGGCACAGTATTGGAAGCCCAACAAGAAACTGTCTCAAGACAATGGAAGCACAAGAAGAATGACAAGAGACCAATGTGGCTGTCCAAGGAACTTCTAAAATACCACAGATGCAACAGGAAGGCATACAGACAATGGAGGAATGGGCAGGTCACCAAGGACATCTACCAAGAAATGCGAAGAACCTGCAGGGACAAAATCAAGAAGTCAAAGATAAAGTATGAGCTGCAACTGGCAAAGGAGGTTAAGAA